TATTCTATGTTATCTTTTGATTAACTTAGCGTTGTTGGCGGTTTTAACCCACGGGGAAATTGCAAGTTCATTATCAGTGCTTACGCTGTTTGTGACAAAGATTCTCGGCAAAAATGTCGCATTCTTTGTGCCCTTTGCTGCTGCTTTTTCCTGTTTCAGTGCACTGAATGGAACAAATTTCATTTGCTCGCGACTTGTTCTCTCCGCCTCTCGCGAAGGACATTTGCCTGAACCATTGTCGTACATTCATGCGGACAGAAGAACGCCCATACCAGCTGTTTTATTTCTATCTTTACTGTCAATGATTTGGATTCTCGTTCTTGGAGCAGGAACACAAAATCTTCTTATTTACTTTTCATTTGCAATTTGGTTTACATACGGCTTAGCGATATTCGGTGTCATTGTTCTACGGGTGCGCCAACCAGATCTACCGAGACCCTTCAAGGTATGGATTGTCAACCCGATATTCATGACATTAGTTTCTCTGTTACTTTTAGTTTTTCCATTTTTAAAACGACCAGTTGAAAGCAGTTTAAGCCTGGTTTTTGTTTTTGTAGCAGTTCCGATATACTTTCTATTTGTGCAGGAACGAAACTGCACTCCAGACTGGCTGCGCAGTTGGAAAGACAAACTATACTTATGTATCCTTTTGCGCTGTAACCTCGTGAAGTGTGTTTTTGTTGCACGCAAGACTACCGTAAAGAATTCTCAAATAGATACTACAAGTGTTTAGTTGAATTAATCAGCAATGGTTATGGAGGAATTTTTGTACTGGTACGATGTTTTGACCGGTGAAAAGGAATAACGTGAGCATTACGATGAGCCTCGATTTTAATTTGATATTATGTACCGTAAATTCTCTTTTCAGATCCCCTTTTAATTGAGCCCCCCTCTCTTATTAGCCGCCTCTTTCCAGAAGGGAAAGTTTAATAAGCCCACCTCCCACAAGAAATAATTTCAATGATGCCAAAAAAAATTTTTGACAAAAAACGGAGATTTTCATTTTATTCATTGGTCGTTCAATGCCTTTCAACAAATCGAAATCCGGACCATGTTTTTTCAAGTCTCGACGAGTCCGAAGACAAAGATTTAACGTGCATTAAGCACGGGACATGTGGGAGCTATTTACCAAAATAACAGGCCGTTTGTACTCAGACGGATAAATTCGACCCTTTCGAATGCTCGATTCCAGAAGACGAAAAGGCCAAAGAAGATATTTAAGAAGAAATAACTGAAGGCGATGAAAATATTACAATTAAATATTTATATGTAGGCGCCTAATTTGATGATTTTTATTTCGCACATAGCAAACAATCAGTCCACCTCTCTCAATTTAGCCACCCCTCTCTTATCAGGCCCCCTTTAAAGTCTGGAAAACAATAGTCCCCTGAGAGGCTTAAAAAAGAATTTACGGTATTGGAAGATAAGCATCTGCTCTGAAGTTGGTCAAGGTTTAATTAGAATTTTTTAAATCAGTGGACAGAGATTTGTCAACTTGTTCATCAGGCACAGGCATGCCTTGGCATTTTCGGCCAACCTTTTTCTTTTTTTATCGGTATGTGCAACGACTTAGAGTTCGATTATCACCATCAAAGGTATATCATCTCCAATATGTCACACATCGTAATTTTCTGCTGCAGGAATAAGGAATGGCCTTCCCCTGAACTTCTTTCTTTTTAACAAAATTTTTTTACCCTTTCTTTGCTGAGTGTTTTTCTCTGTCTCTTTCAAACTTGCCTCAATTGTCCATTTGTATGATCTAAGTATTATTATTAATTTCTCTGTACCAGGTTAGCCAGTCGTAGACTACCTAATCATAAAGCGAGGTTTACAATTGTATGAAATATTCCCATTATTTTTTATTCTTACAAAAGGTGATAAACAAACTGCTACTTTGACAGAAGCCCGGCCAGAACCCACCCCGGCCTGAACCCACCACGGCCTGAACCCACCCCGGCCCGAACTCACCCCAACCCCTGCCCAAACCCTCCTGGGCCCTGACCCCCAAGAAAATTATTACTTCGATTCATTCAATCCGAAATATTACCCTGGGTACCAGAAACACATGAATCTGGGGATAGAGCATTGTGGACGGCTGTGGTGACAAAGAATGAATTTTCAATCCTCGCTCAAAGAAATATTTCTGTAGCTAAATATTAGAGACACTGGCATCCAGGGTACCCAAATATCGTCGGGCCGCCGTTAGTCAACAAGACCGGTGCGAGGGGGTGAGGGGAACAAAGTTCCAAAGGGTCTCGAAGACTAGGAGGCCTCTCATTAAATAAATAATTCCATATTAGGAATAGAATAAGTTCAAAGTAGAAAAAGTTTGCCTAAAGATAGTAAAAATTTCAAACTTCATTACAAGAAAATGACTACAAGAAATATTTTAAAATGTATTTTAAGTTATGTTATAGGGCCGGCATGAGCACTCTAATATATTTAGCTTCGGAGAAGGCAAGAGAAAATACGACCAGCGTGTTACTGTTTATGGTTTGTATTCGACACATCTTTCGGCGATGTGACACAATGTTTGCCCCTGCCATCGAATCTAGAAATCTTCCATCTAATCTTTACTAACACATGCTTTAGTTCAAAACTGCACACAAAAGATGCTACAGAAATTACGCTTGTTAGTTGCTTGATGCAATCAATACAATATTAATTGGGGACATTAGTAATCATTGGGGACATTAGTAATCATTGGGGACAATAGTAATCGTTGGGGACAAAATATAAAGAATGGCGAACAAATGTCGGACCTAAGATGGCTACTATTCTTGATCCGACAATGTGCTCTAGATTTAGCATGAATTAAGCATAGTAAAGCCCGGGTCAAACGCATCCAAGAATTCAGCCAACATGCAGAAAACCGATGTTGGACGAAATGTTGGACGAAATGTTGGATACGTTTCATCACACATGTTGGGTCACCCAACATTTGCAAACTGATATTGGATGAAGTTTGATCACGGTCAAAAACAAATTTTGTTTTTCAATGTTGGATGCGTTTGACCATTCCATCCAACATTTCATTTTCTTGGCATGCGCATATTTCCAACTTATTTATTTTCATTTGAGCGCCAAGTTGATTCACTGATTTGTGAGCAACCATTTCCAAGTTATCGAATGAAAAATAGAAAGTTATCGAATAAAGGAATTAGCTATTATTATTCACCTTCATTTTGCGCGCCTTTTCGCCATCTGTAAACCATTGCTGTAAACACGTAGTTGCGAATTTTTTACCATTTTGTAAGTTCCTCATAAGACTAGACTGTGTGCAGACTCTGAGAGGAGAAGGAAAAGTTTTTCAATTTTGTCGACAGAGTCTGCACGCAGGCTAATATAAGTGGGGATGGATCGATTTTGCTTCACCGGCTTGTTTACGATTAGGACCATTAGGACCTATCCAGACCATTAGGTTCTTCAATATTGTCACTTTTCTGTAAAATTTATAAACTTTTTCTTAAATTTAATTTCTTTGGTACTTGCTAGATTCCTTCTTGCTTCATGACCGATGCCTTGCAAGGTGATCACTTGATACACCTGGTCAAGAATATCGGCTTCAAATATTTGACTGTTTGTTTGCGAAGGTACGCCAAAAAAATTTAAGAAACAAGTCATAAATAAGAACAAACCAGGTATTCGCTTTCAGCAAGAGAAAATAAGGAACTAAGATAGTCGAACTAAAACCCCTCGATTTACCTCCCTTTTCGCATCCCAAATTTCGGTGGAACGGGCACTGTTGTCCGAAACGAGCCCACCTTTGACAAGAGAAAGCCTTGCAGAGGCGAATGAGCTGTTGCTCTTACATTTCTATGATGTATTAGTACGGTTTCCAGCCACTTTTCTTTCGCCTATTATGTTTCGAGGGGTTTTAGTTAGACTATCTTAGTTCCCTTTGCTTTCAGATCAACAAACTCGTGTTGTTTAAAATGTTTAGGCACTGCGAAAAAACGCTACAGATCCTCCAAACAACGGTCGGTACCATCACTGTTAATGTCCAGAATTATGTAGCCTGCGTGCAGACTCTGTTGATAAAATTGAAAATAGGAGAAAAAGTTTGCGAAGCCGAACCGATTTTCTTGTCCACAGGTTCTTCAAAATCAAGGAACCGAATTTAATTGGTTAGGGGAATTTCAATTGCTTTTTTCAGTTTTCAAAGTGGCGCTTTCGAGCAGAAGCATAAATGAATGGTATCAGGATAGTAGAATAGGTCTGTTTGTTCTTTTGAACAACTAAAATTACAGAAAAACATTGCACGCTAATGGAGTTGTTGTTCTAGTGCTTAGAATAAAATGTTGATGTCAGCGAACAAGAAAAGCGGCACTCCTCCTTTTTCTCTCTCTCTTTTAAATTTCAGAGTCTGCACACAGACTACACTTATATCCGTAGAAATACTGGCGGGACCCGTTTACTTGTAACGCTATCAAAAGACTGCCTTTTCTTATGAGTCTGTCAATTCTTAGACCAAAAAGAAACGCGCTAAATAACCAAATAACCATCCTAATAGCGAGATGCTATAGAATGCTATACAATGCGGAATCGACGGGCTTCACTGCCTCCCTACAGAGTTATCCCTCTACACTTATATCCGTAGAATACTGGCGGGATCCGTTTACTTGTGACGCTATCAAAAGACTGCCTTTTCTTATGAGTCTGTCAATTCCTAGACCAAAAAGAAACGCGCTAAATAACCAAATAACCATCCTAATAGCGAGATGCTATAGAATGCTATACAATGCGGAATCGACGGGCTTCACTGCCTCCCTACAGAGTTATCCCTCTACACTTATATCCGTAGAATACTGGCGGGATCCGTTTACTTGTGACGCTATCAAAAGACTGCCTTTTCTTATGAGTCTGTCAATTCCTAGACCAAAAAGAAACGCGCTAAATAACCAAATAACCATCCTAATAGCGAGATGCTATAGAATGCTATACAATGCGGAATCGACGGGCTTCACTGCCTCCCTACAGAGTTATCCCTCTACACTTATATCCGTAGAATACTGGCGGGATCCGTTTACTTGTGACGCTATCAAAAGACTGCCTTTTCTTATGAGTCTGTCAATTCCTAGACCAAAAAGAAACGCGCTAAATAACCAAATAACCATCCTAATAGCGAGATGCTATAGAATGCTATACAATGCGGAATCGACGGGCTTCACTGCCTCCCTACAGAGTTATCCCTCTACACTTATATCCGTAGAATACTGGCGGGATCCGTTTACTTGTGACGCTATCAAAAGACTGCCTTTTCTTATGAGTCTGTCAATTCCTAGACCAAAAAGAAACGCGCTAAATAACCAAATAACCATCCTAATAGCGAGATGCTATAGAATGCTATACAATGCGGAATCGACGGGCTTCACTGCCTCCCTACAGAGTTATCCCTCTAGCGTATTCTATACACCTCATTGTAGCAGACAAAAGTAAATAGCCGGTCAGACTGAAGATGGCTGTGCTAAAGAGGACAGAATCGACTGCACTCCTTGCTTCGCAAAAATCTGAGCATTTGACAGGTTCTCGGGAGTCCATCAATGGCGTCCAACTGAATGTTAAAGAACTTGCAAGAAGTCTTGGCTTTTGGCATGCATTTGCCTACGTGGTAGGAATCTTGTTTGGCTCTGGTATGTACATCTCGCCAAGCCTTGTAGCAAGAGAAACTAACAATATGGCTATAGCGTTGGTAGTTTGGATAGTCTCTGGAATAATACCCATCTTGGGTGCAATGTGCCTTTGCGAACTGGCTTGTGCAATTGGTAAAACAGGAGGTGAATACATTTTTAACAAAGAAGCCTTCGGAGATATCGCTGCATTTGTGACTCTGTGGGCTAAGGCCGTTATTGGTTTTCCCGCCGGCATGGCTGTTTTGGGAGTGGCGATCAGTGAGTACTTTTTAAGCCCGTTTATTGACATAACTACCTCGAATGGAGTTTGGATAACCAAAGCTGTTGCTGTGCTTTTCATCGTGATGTCTGCCATCATAAATTCTTTGAGCGCCTCGTTTGTTGGCAAAACCCAAGTCTTTTTCACGACCATCCAGTCATTGTCAGTGCTATTTTTCGTTTCTCTGGGAATATGGAAAGCTTCTGCAGGACACACTCAAAATTATGTTACTATTTTTGACAATTCCAGCAAATTTGAACTCGGTAGTTTTGGTATAGCCTTTTACAATGGACTATGGGCATATGATGGATGGGGACTCATTTGCACAATCACAGAGGAATTGAAAAACCCAAAAAGGGACCTCCGACTAGCAATTCTTTTCGGAGTCGGATTTGTTATTCTATGTTACCTTTTGGTTAACTTAGCGTTGTTGGCGGTTTTAACCCACGGAGAAATTGCAAGTTCATTGTCAGTGTTTACGCTGTTTGTGACAAAGATTCTCGGCAAAAATGTCGCATTCGTTGTGCCCTTTGCTGCTGCTTTTTCCTGTTTCAGTGCACTGAATGGAACAAATTTCATTTGCTCGCGACTTGTTCTCTCCGCCTCTCGCGAAGGACATTTGCCTGAACCATTGTCGTACATTCATGCGGACAGAAGAACGCCCATACCAGCTGTCTTATTTCTATCTTTACTGTCAATGATTTGGATTCTCGTTCTTGGAGCAGGAACACAAAATCTTCTTATTTACTTTTCATTTGCAATTTGGTTTACATACGGCTTAGCGATATTCGGTGTCATTGTTCTACGGGTGCGCCAACCAGATCTACCGAGACCCATCAAGGTATGGATTATCAACCCGATATTCATGACATTAGTTTCTCTGTTGCTTTTAGTTTTTCCATTTTTGAAACGACCAGTTGAGAGCAGTTTAAGCCTGGCTTTTGTTTTTGTAGCAGTTCCGATATACTTTCTAGTTGTGCAGGAACGAAACTGCAGTCCAGCCTGGCTGCGCAGTTGGAAAGACAAACTATACTTTTGCATCCTTTTGCGCTGTAACCTCGTGAAGTGTGTTTTTGTTGCCAGCAAGACTACCGTAAAGAATTTTCAAATAGATTCTACAAGTCTTTAGTTGAAATAATCAGCGATGATGCCTATGAAAGAATTTTTTATTTGTACGAGGTTTTTACCAGAAAGAGGTCGCCATGACGTCAGAATTGTGTTCAGCCTTTCCATTCACTTTAATTTATTCTATAAAAGTTAAGATTTTGTCGCTTCTGTGTTAAGTTTCAGGATTTTAAAAGTTGTTAACTGATTGGATTTTTGTTAATCTTGTTTCTTGTTAATGATTTAAATTTGATTTCAAATTAATGGTTTTGCTTCCCCTCAAGAAAAACTCTTAACGGTTTAAGGTGAAACATACCGATCTTGATAATAGAAACATTCCCATTATTACCCAAAGTTGGCTGTTTTGAATTTTTTGGAAATTTCTCTCAACTGTGAACTTTAGAGGATACATTAAAATCGATTTTAAAAACAATTATTCCCAGTGCGGGCTTCGTACAATGAGAAAATTCTGGACTCGCGCTTTGCTTTGTTTTGCATTCGGCGTCATTTCCGTCACTACGCAAGCGTCCTAAAGAAACTAACCCAGGTTCGCCCCAGGTTTGTGTTCACACTACACTATATCTAAACTAACCCAGGTTTGACCTAGGGCGAACCCACCTTTTGAGATGTGTTGACTAACCTGGGGCGAACCTGGGTTAGTTTGCGTATACACTACAAAAAACTAACCTGGGTTAGTTTTAACCTGGGGCGAACCCAGGTTAGTTTGTGTAGTGTAAACAGGGCTATAGTTTATGGGTATCTGAGACCTTGCACTTTGCGGTTTACTGTTGATGCTTCTTTCATTAAGCTCATCGAACACTTTTTATTAGTTTTGGCTCTTACGTGTTTCTAGCTGATTGGTTTTTGTTATTAATACACCAATTTTTACTTGCGGTCTCGTTTTGGACATTTCTCCAAACATTTGTTATACGTTTATTTTTATGCTGGATACAATTTATCATATTTTTTGTGCTTGTCTTTTAGATTTTAAGGTGAAATGAAATTTGAAACTTGCAAGGGATTCGACTGTAAAAATCATTCCGGGGGAATACTATCCCCCCCTCCCCTGTCGCCAATCTCAGTCAAATCCTTTATGAAATTTGTATCTTTTTGTCGTAATGAAAATATGCATGTAGACTAAAATCGTTGCTCTTAACCCGTACACGCGGACCAACTTCGAGTTTGACTCCCTTTGTGCATTCAAGCAATTTTGCGTTGTTTTCAAATTGTTTACATCCAATGACAATGTAAAAATACGACATGTCACTTGACTACCTATTGTCCTCCAAACAATTGTTCTTCCCATCCGCTAATTTGCCCAATAAAGATCTAATTTGGCCTAATTTGGTCACGGCATAGAATAGAAATTAACTATTATGTGGTCACGATATGCTAGTGCACGCTTGTTCTAGCTAGTGCAAGCAGAACGAGACACACCTCTCTTTTTGTGTTGTTATTATCCAGGCAGTGACGTCTCCAGCTTGTTAGAGTGTAGCGACAGGGCCACAGCATGCGATTTAAAAGAGTTCTTAGGAGGGGCAAATTTTGGGGCCCGTGCTCGAATGGGACCATGATAATCTTACTTGAACTATGTATGTGAAAGAAATTGCGTGGGTTTTGGGGCGAGCGCCCAAAGTCGTCGGTTAAAGCACAATTTTAAGGGCTTTTGTCGGAAAATTTGCTTGCTCTTGTGGCTGGTGCGGTTCCTCTCAGCTTCCTAGGCAACTATATATTGTAAAAATATTAGTTCTATGGACTGTAAATAACTATATAACTATCTTATTGTTATAAATTTCTAACTAAGTTTCTGAATATAAAATTAATTGGAATTTGAATTTTTGTTGCCAGGAACCATAGTAGCAGACGGGCTATAGGGGCTTTAGCGACACAACAATTTACAAAACCCCGTTCACACATTTGGCGCGCAAAACAACAGTTGGTTGTAACAACACTAACAGCATTAGACTTATCAGGCCCTTTCCCGCCCTAAAATTAATTTTGATTGATTGACCGAATTATTTTTCGAATGATATGGTGATTTTGATATGTCTTAAAGGTGTTCAGCCGCTTGCTGATAGCTTGTTCTTAGGGTATTCTTGGGGTGTTTCTGGGGTGTTCAGCATGTTCTTGGAGTGTTCAGTCCAGCCACGTAGTTGCAGGGGGCACGGGAGGGGGGGCTATAATTCAATAACCTTAATTTTGTCCAAATATATATGTTTGTTATATATCTGTTTTCTTGTTTTAAAGCCTGCCCCCCTCAGGTATGGTTCTTGCTCGAATTTGCCCCCCCCCCTAGCCGACACCTACAGCTACGTGGTTGGTTCAGTCTTTTAGAGACGACGTCTCATATTACCATTGTTGATCTTTAATGGCTCATGCTTTCTAAACATATCATTTGTGCTATATAATATTTTACTTCTTTTGGACTATATATCAGTAATTCCCCGGGTATCCCATCTTCACCAGTAGCTTTGTTGTTGTTTAACTTTGTAGAACTCTTATGAATTTCTTCGGGTGTTTTTTCTTTTACAAGAGGCCTTGGTTCACCTTCAAACGGTTGAATGACTTCAGCATCTTCTTTTTGAAATTTTGCTTTAAAGAAATCTGTTGTTAGCTTCAGTATATCATTCGGGCTTGTAGCTAATCTCCCTTCATCACCCTCTACTTTGGGGTTTTCATATCTCTGACGATATAGAGTTCCAACTGCTTTGAACATTTTTGATATATCTGAGCTATTTTCGATATCTTCAATTTTCATGTCTATTTCCTTTTCTCTGATTTCTTGCACTTTATGGCTTATTTGATGTTGTATTCTATTTCTCTCTGCTTTCAGTTCCTTTTTCTTAACTGGTTCTTTGGTGTTGTCTATCTCGATTCTAATTTTCTTCTGCCTATTTGATAATTCTTGAATATCCCCATCATATACTTCATAGGTGTTTCCTACTTTTCTAGGATAACCAACCTTCTTTTCAGCTGCTTCTTTCATGCCTTTTTGTATATTGTTCCAATTTTCTTGTGGACTCTTAGTTTCATCATATGTATTTGTTCTTACATATTTTCTCATCTCTTCCTGGTATTCTGATTTAATTTCATCATCTCTATTCAATCTGTTAGTATCATATCTAAGGTTGGTTTTTCTGATTTTCCACCATTTCATTACCATAGTTGCCTTTACTAATCTGTGGTCTGATTGTGTCTTTGTCCCATTGTAAGTTATTGTATTTTGGAACAAAGTTTTATCTTTTTGCTTGCATAATATGAAATCAATTTGTTTGTACATTGGATGTAATGTGCCTTGATGAGTGTTGAAATGGCTTTTGATAATATGATAGCTATTTGGTTCGCAAAATTCTGCAAGGGCTTCTCCATTGGTGTTTCTCTGACCTTTTGAGAATCTTCCTAAACATCTATCTCCTTCTTGAAACTGACCTATTTTACAATTAAAATCCTCTCCTATCAAAGTACATATGGATTTGTTTTCTACTCATTTCAAGACTTTTTCTAAGTTGCTGAAAAACTTCTCTCTATTTTCTGGCTTATCTTTTGTAATTTGGGATGTTTGGCCATAAACATTGACTTCTGATATGATTTTATTAACCCCTGTTTTAAGTTGAAACACACATATTCTTTCGCCTTCTTCCCATATCCTGTGAACACTATCAATGGCGGCGCCAGCCACCAAGCCCTGGGGGGGACTAACCAAAAAAATTTAAGCCACGCCCTTTTAACCACCAGAAAACGCCCTTTTATCCGAAGGGAACGCCTATGACTAACTTTTGTTTGAAAATTGGCAGTTTGAAAATCATATGATTACATCACAAAAATTATGGTGTCAAAATATTACCCCTCCCTCAACATTTTCTCATCAAATTTAAACGAAATACAAAATCGATTTTGCTAAGAACTGGGGGGGACATGTCCCCCCCCCAGTCCCCCCCGTGGCGCCGCTACTGAACACCATCTGTTCAGCTCTTGTGTATTAGAAATCAAATGTCTCTGCTTAAATTTTTGGTGGGGAATGTTATAAGCCTTGAGTTTTTCAAATAAATGTCTATTCCATCTTTGATTTTTGTTTCTTGGATGCATATATTATCTATTTCATACCTTAGTAAATCATCATCTAGTTGGTTCTGTTTTACTTCTTTGCTCAAACCCCTGACATTGAAAGTTGAAATATTGAAGAATTTTGAATCTTGTTGTTTACAGTGGTTATATTGTCTGTTTCTGCTATTTTCCTGGTTTAGGCCTACTGCAATCATCTCTTTTCTTCAATTGTAAATTCTTTGCTTCTTTGTTTATCTTTTTTCATAATTTTTGAAGACCTTTGATGTTTAATATTAGCCTTAATTAAAAGTCTTGAGTCTAGAAAACCCTCCGGTATTCTAGCCCGCAACTAAGCGAGGGAAAATCTTTTTTCTCAGCTAAACGGAGTCTAACGCGGAAATATCAATAAAAGGGTAATTGAGATAAAAAATTCTCCAGATTCTAATCTGATTTTATAACTTATAAAAATACAAGCCGATTACATGTTAATTTTCAACGCTTTACTTCTGTACTCAATAATTACGCTCTCTTCTTTCTCCTCAACTCGTAAGTACCCTTGCACATGCTTACGCTTGTTCGCTAGAACCGCAAAACCCATGCCAATAGAAGATGTGAAATTTGCTAACGGATTCCTGTTATTTTGGGACAGTTCATTAAGTTATGAACTGAGACCAAATTAGAGAGGTTTGATGGGGTCAGAGCTTGTGCTCATCTGGAAATATCTCGGCCAGTTCGTAATACCCTTAACTGATTTTGCAGCTTAAGAGGCATTTCATGATGCTCTTTCAGGTTATTGGAAAAAATTCACAAATTCGAAAAATATCTACAGGGTAAGAAAAACATTATGTGCTGACGGACAAAGTACGGGGGGAAGCGCCCTCCGTTAGCGATGCCCCTGGCGGGCAATGCCAAGTTAAAGTCGGCTTGTCAATTGAGCGAAGTGAAGGAGCTCCTTGCTTGTTATTTGAAGGCAAGAACTTAAATAACAGTATTAAAGAAAAATTTGATACCTTGCAATTGATACAGAATTTGATACAAATTAATCATCTTGCACTGGATTGAGAATTTTTACAATGTAATGAATTTTCAATGTAGTGTAATAAGTCTTTGTAAACTTCCTTCACTGGCGATTAGAAACGCAAACATCTGAAGACAGGTCTTGTTTTCTATTACGCATTTAACAGAATAAATCCAAAAATGAACTGTAAAAGGGAACTAAGCCATAATGGTAGGTGCAATGGAGCCTTATCATACTTCAAAAGTCATCAAACTGCAGTGACATCAAAGATTGTTGTTCAAAACGAAGGAAGTTCGGGTCTCGTTTTGCAGCTTGGCGTCTTCGTTGGAAGGATCTATCTTGCTCAGTGCCAAAAACAAGCACTCAACGCAGGCTGAAGCATATCAGCAGTTAGATTGACTCGATATAGCATTGTGTGGATTAGTGCACAGTTGATGGTAGTTTTCACCATGAATGCACAGATGCAGACTTTGTTGACACCGATTTTTTTCGACAGTCTGAAGACGCCGTTTTCTAAGTTTTTAAAGTTCTAAAATATTTGGACGGGCACGGAGGGGCAAAAAATTCTAGTTGGGCGGGCAATTCCGCCCTTTATTGAACGCCGCATCTTGAAAAGCGGCGTTCATTAGAAAGCACACCAAACAAGAAGTAAGGAATTGTTTATACGCTTACTATTCGAAAGCCATGAAAGTTTTAATTTCATAGAGTCGAGGACCCTGATGGAGACAGGGATATTGACATTACTTGACTTGACTTGACATTCTTTTTATCTTTGTTCATCGCATTTTTCTTGTCGTTTTTCATTTGACAAACTTTTAATTTTGTATTGAACGCCGCCCTCTGATGAACGCCGCCCTTTATTGAATGCCGCATCCAAAAATTGGAGTTCGTAATAAACGCCGCGGCGTTCTTCAGAGGAAATACGGTATGCAAAAAAAACCGGTGGCTAAAAAGCATACTCGATACATCGATATCCATAGCGCAAGTGTGGAAGCTCGGTAACCATATGTTCAACCTGACACTAAATGAAATATGGATGCAAATGAGAATCTGAGGTCTTATACTGATGGTCTAAACTTTCTTTTTCGGAAAAATTCATAGAAATTAAAATCGAAGCTGCTAGAAGAAAATCAAAAGGCATGCTGAAGGGAGTAAAATTTTTGAAGGAAGACTTCAGACCAAGTTCATTAAGAAATAGCCAACGGGGCTAGACAATGGAAAACAATAGGCGAAATTCAATGAATAATTATGTAAAAGATAATAGACAGTGTAATTAAGTATCGATAAGTGAATGACATGACGTTAGAATAGTGTGATTGTGAAATTACGATTTTGATGTATCGGAAATCACCATCGCTACGGTTGACGGCCATAGAGTCCAAAGGTCAGTTTGCTACCCAGACTTAATGGCGGACGTTACCCGGGAATGGTTTATTCGGGATCAGTGTCTGAGAAGCACGCTCTGACAACAGGGCTGTTGTGTCTATGCGTATGTCTCAACCACATTTTCTCTAAAACCGAATCAGTTTCTCACGAAGTTGTTTGTATGTAAAACTTGATATTTGTGTGTACACTAGAAGTATAAACTCATGTTATAGTGTACATTTATACACTTGAATTTTTGCTCTTGCCTACCCGAGATCTCGTAGGAAACTGTCGTACACTGCAGTACGGGTAACTAGCTAAGTTTGGGCTTCTAGCCTGTCTGCATGTTTGTGTGATCGAATTGAACAATAGTCCTAATAGTCCAAAAATACGCGTATATTATTCTATTCCAATGATGAGAAAGTGGGTCTTGTCTCTGGAATTCCCGCAGTTTGGGCAAAACATCACCGCTGAACAAAAATTCATTCAATTCAATACAAAACCTACCCTTTTCCAACGTGTGACCCATTCTTCTTTAAGTGCGACCTCTTTTCTAATTGTGGGACTCAATCTGCTTTATGTGCGATTTGTTGTATTTTGTGTGACTAAAACTAAAAATGTGTGACGAGTTTCATTTTTCTGCGAGTCTTTTTTCTTTTTGTGCGACTCACTTGAATTTTGTGAGTGGATTTTCTTTCTACGTGAATCGGATTCTACGTATATTTAATTACATGGATGTTCGCATCCTTTTATTATATCATCAACATTGCCTGGTTAATAAATCATATCGTAATCTTAGGGAAAAATGATTCTCAAAAGTTCCAAATTGTTTAATAGCAGAAAACTTTTCGGATGTAAAAAATTCGGACGGTAAAAATTTAACCGCCTGCAATTTTTGGCGATTAACATACCTAGTATCAATCCACTGCTTGAGCAACAGAATCATTTCTTTGGGAAAGTAAATTAGAGTGAATGGGAAGGCTGAAAAAACTTATAAAACTCTGGAAAAGATCTCGTGACAAATAAATGATTTTTGCAAAGCCATGCCTTGTAAGAAATTGCTTGGTACTCCTCAATAGTTGTTCTTGTAGTCACTTAATGTACTCAATCACTTGTAGTCAATAGATTTGAAGAATACATAAGTGTGATTAGAGAATACATAGAACTACAACGGATCAAAGTTTGAACCTAAACTAGAATTTACGTTGCTGATTACTTCAACTAAACACTTGTAGCATCTATTTGACAATTCTTTACGGTAGTCTTGCTGGCAACAAAAACACACTTCACGAGGTTACAGCGCAAAAGGATACATAAGTATAGTTTATCTTTCCAACTGCGCAGCCAGTCTGGATTGCAGTTTCGTTCCTGCACAACTAGAAAGTATATCGGAACTGCTACTAAAACAAAAACCAGGCTTAAACTGCTCTCAACTGGACGTTTCAAAAATGGAAAAACTAAAAGTAACAGAGAAACTAATGTCATGAATATCGGGTTGATAATCCATACCTTGAAGGGTCTCGGTAGATCTGGTTGGCGCACCCGTAGAATAATGACACCGAATATCGCTAAGCCATATGAAAAGCAAAGTGCAAATGAGAAGTAAATAACAAGATTTTGTGTTCCTGCTCCAAGAACGAGAATCCAAATCATTGACAGTAAAGATAGAAATAAGACAGCTGGTATGGGCGTTCTTCTGTCCATATGAATGAACGACAATGGTTCAGGCAAATGTCCTTCGCGAGAGCCAGAGAGAACAAGTCGAGAGTATATGAAAGTTATTCCATTTAGTCCGCTGAAACAGGAAAAAGCAGCAGCAAAGGGCACAACCAATGCAACATTTTCTCCAAGAATCTTTGTCACAAACAGCGTAAACACTGACAATGAACTTGCAATTTCTCCGTGGGTTAAAACCGCCAACAACGCTAAGTTAACCAAAAGGTAACATAGAATAACAAATCCGACTCCGAAAAGAATTGCTAGTCGGAGGTCCCTTTTTGGGTTTTTCAATTCCTCTGTTATTGTGCAAATAAGGCCCCATCCATCATATGCCCAAAGTCCATTGTAAATGGCTATACCAAAACTACCGAGTTCAAATTTGCTGGAATTGTCAAAAATAGAAACATAATTTTGAGTGTGTCCTGCAGAAGCTTTCCATATTCCTAGAGAAACGAAAAACAGCACTGATAGTGACTGAATAGCCGCGAAAAAGACTTGGGTTTTGCCAACAAACGAGGCGCTCAAAGAATTTATGATAGCAGACATCACGATGAAAAGCACAGCAACAGCTTTTGCTATCCAAACTCCATTGGAGGCAGTTATGTCAATAAACGGGCTTAAAATGTACTCACTGATTGCCATTCCCACAACAGCAATGCCAGCGGGAAAAACCATAAAAACCTTCGCCCACAAAGTCACAAATGCAGCAATATCTCCGGAGGCTTCTTTGTTAAAAATGTATTCACCTCCTGCTTTGCCAATTGCACAAGCCAGTTCGCAAAAGCACATTGCACCCAAGATGGGTATTATTCCAGAGACTATCCAAACTACCAACGCTATAGCCATATTGTTAGTTTCTCTTGCTACAAGACTTGGCGAGATGTACATACCAGAGCCAAACAAGATTCCTACCACGTAGGCAAATGCATGCCAAAAGCCAAAACTTCTTGCAAGTTCTTTAACATTCAGTTGGATGCCATTGATGGACTCCCGAGAACCTGGCAAATGCTCAGATTTTTGCGAAGCAAGGAGTGCAGTTGATTCTGTGTTATTTACTCCAGCCATCTTCAGTCTGACCGGCTACTTATATTTATTTGCTACAATGAGGTGTATAAGAGTGCGCTAGAGGGATAACTCTGTAGGGAGGCAGTGAAGCCTATAGATTTCCGCATTGTAGGGGGCCTATTATAGGTTTGCGGCTTCGCAGCCTGGACCCTATTTTAACGCGCGGCCTCCGGATTTTGTTCTGATTTTTTTACGGATTGCGGCTTCAGCAAAAGATGTCTTGCGTCTTTCAGTGTAAATTCGCGACGCTTTACGGCTTCTATGATGCGGTTGCGGCTTCTAGCTGCAATAACGGTCCGCGGCCAGGCCCTTCATACTGAAGGGAGTTGAAAAGAGCTCTAGGAGTAACGTAAAAATGGACAAGCTTCTGTCAGTTAGGACAAAAGAGAGAGAGAGGAAATCTAAAAAATAGTTTAGGTCACGGGAGATATATTGAAAGGCCTGAAACGCGTCTATCTTGACGATGAGCGTGATTTCTTGCGTTGCGCTTTTTTACAAAGCCGGGAAAAGCGGTAAAGATTTGTCAAGGAAAGAAAAATTTCGAATTGAATGCCCAAGAAGCGAAGATAGCGGTGAAATTAGCTTAAATCTTTAAAAGAGCTGATATGGTGAGTGATTTTCTTGCCTTTTTCTGCCAGTTCTGCTAGTCCACCATTCCTTTTATGGGTTTTTATTTTCTCTTCGATGTACTCAGAAAAATTTTCTTATAGGAATAAAAAATCGACATCGACATTGACTACTCCAGTTGACTACTACACGCTTTGAATAAGTTTAAAACTCATTTTTTCTTGATTGTTTCTAGGCCATTACTCTCATTGCTAGAGTTGCGTCATTATGATATCAAAAATTTTAATGTCGGGAGTCTTTGTTAAGAAACCTTCTAAATTTCTTATCTTCTGTCTCATAGACATTCGTAGAAGTCAACTAAGAAAAACCTCTGATTTCTGTTAGCTGCCCTAAATTTCATTAATTTTGTTACATCGCTACTTCAAGCTTGTTTCTACTCAATCTGCCTGGCATCACATTCCTTTTACATCATACCATGTGCTTTCTAAATAAGGTCAACTAACTACGTTTTCGGTGCAACAAACGAAAAAGAACCAATTAAATACTAGAACATTATAGACGTTAACCAATGATAAAACTACAACCATAAATGTATATGAGTCAGCTTATGCGCCTCACTACCAAAGTGAGGCATATGCGTCAATACTAACTAAAACAACGAAAACAAAATACCAAAACAGAAACTCATACGTGATTAACCTTGTCTAAAGTCTGGAAATAAACACATTAACCCGATTAAATAAAGTCTGGAAATAACCCGATTATTTCCAGATAAATCCATAAGCGCTTAAATCCAAAAAATAAAGTGTTAGGCGTGGCAGGAAATTGGAAATTCCCAACAGTATTGTTTTTAATTGTGCACAATTGGAAATTTTTTAACAAAATCCTGTTGGGGAGGGCTTTAGCAACTGCTGACCGGCCCGGGTCACTCTGGTAGTGGTAGCTAGACTTGTCAATGTTTCTCTTGTTTTCAAATGCCCACGTTTATTCTGTCAAGAGATTCTCTTCCGTTCTAATGTTGTATCTAGACGCGGAAGGTATACATTAAGATTTATGTTCGGTGAAGCAGGAAACAATATTCGTTATTTGAAACTTTTATGATCGCGCTCCAGAAAATTTTATGTTAAAGATAGATTTACAAAAAGTGTTTCATTTCTAAACTGGCCGAAATTTTCTCGTTCCTCCGAAATTTCACAATTGCGACCGAAATGTTTATCCAATTATCCACCGAACGTACACAAATTAATCAACTGAACTTTTTGAAACCAGATTTTTTGCTACTTAAAGTATTTTTATTCTTTCTGTCTAAATCTTATGACAAACATCCAATCATATTGTTGAAATTTCCTGACAATTTCGAGTTATAGGTTCTCTTATAAGTTCAAATGTTTCTTAAATTATTGCTTTGAGTCTAAAGTTTTTTCCTTCTGATAGTCCAATTTTATCTTATTTTGAGGGGGCCTTTGGAGGAGGGGGTTACCAGAACCCGCCAACGGACGAAATGCATAAAACCGAAAACCTTGTCTAAATTCTGGAAATAAACACATAAACCCGAAACCCGTGAGATGCCAAAGCCCCCTCTTGTTTGCGATCACCTTTTGAAAACCAAGCATGAAGAAGATGATGAAGTATAAGGAAAAAGAGATACATTTTATTCATCAAACATTTGTATTCAATAGCCTAAACCTTCACAAAAGGGCCAATGTTTCTTTTTTACTATGAATTCATAAACTGTTTTTGGTGATCAGAACAGAACAGTCAAAGTTTGATTCCAATTCAATTCAAGCGAATTGAAATGCTTTGAACTAAAGCAATGTTAAGATATCGTAAGAAAATTAAATTGTGGAAACTATGGTTGTCAAATTTTCTAAATCATACTTCATCTTAAGCACATACGATGTGCAATGATGTCTTTATGCTCGAGTCAAGTCTTTAACATCTTCCCTTCGTTTATAGGCCACTTTGATAATTGTGTCAAGCCAGCCTCGATGACTATCATCGAATCCTTTGCAAACAACCAAAAACCAAGAAAAATGCATGCAAGTGACTCTGACTCTTCAACTATTGCGAGGTTGGAAAAGGATGTCGATAGATGAAGAAGACAAAAAGTAAACACTGTTCTTCTACATGGCACTGTTTTGTTGATATGATATCCAGTCAAGTCAAAGTATGGAATTTCAACTCAGTAACAGACAAACGTTTTACTTTTTACGGATTGCAGCTCCCATTGAATTGAGTAATATCAGTTAATGTCAGTCAAAAATCAGTCAAAAATTCACAACTATCACATCAGTTAAACTGTCAGAAGAACATGTGGTATCCAAAGAAAATCAGGCAGTCAACTCGCAACGCCCAGAATATGACAATGATTCACCAGAAAGTGAAGCCAGCAATTGTTCGAGTGAAGAAGAAGATAGTGATACAATGACGGGTCGAGTAGCGAGAGAGGCTTTGTTCCTTGTTGGCTCGAAGTCACCGTTTGGTCGTGCAGTTAGGTTCAATGGTCGATTTATTCAGTAGAGCTAAATTGTAAGGTGTAGTTCTGTTTATCGAACTTTGACTCATTCATTACTAAAAGTTTAGCGTCTTCAAATGTTTCACGGTATGTGAAAAATACTTGGGTACAGACAAATACGAAGATTGACACAATAGCTTGCTGTGAAACAAAGCTAGAAACTTGAGAAACAGCAACTTCTAGCAACGTATCCTTTTTTCTTACTAGCGAGTAATTGGCTTTTTGTGTCTCTGGCCGTTTTGCAACGCGGCCGCGTCTTTGCGCTTTTTTTCATTGCGGATTGCGGCTTTTGGCTGATTTTTGCACGGTTTGGCGGCTTTTGGACGCTATAATAGGCCCCCAAGATAGTCTAACTAAAACCCCTCGATTTATCTCCCTTTTCTCATTCCAATTTTCGGTGGAACGGGCTCTGTCGTACGAAACAAAACCACCTTTGACAAGAGCAAGCCTTGACGAGGCGAATGGGCCGTTGCTCTTACATTTCTATCATGTATTAGTACGGTTTCCAGCCACTTTTCCTTCGCCAACTTTCGTGTTTTGTACGGTTTTGTATGCCCTTTGCGGAGGCAAAGTGGCGATTTGCTCTATTCATGATCTATTTTTGGGCCGCGAGTTTGATTGTTCTCAGCTATGCGTGTCGATAGTTCGAACAAATAACAAAACGTCACTTTACCTCTGCAAAGGGCATACAAAACCGTACAAAATAGGCAAAGGAAAAGTGCCTGGAAAATATACTGTGACGCAGTAAATTTCCAGATCTTTGGATTCCACTATCAACCTTTGCAGAAGGAGAAATCGATGCGTACCTAACGATCCCTAACGACCCGCGGTGACAAAACGGTTCCGGCATAATGATCTTACGGTAGAGCAATTACTTGATTACGAAGAGGAATTTTTCGTACGTAATTGTGAGCAGCCAAACTTTTGATTTCGTTAACTTCCTAGCTGCGAGTGCAAAGATTTCTTCAACTCGGCAATTCAACTATTTGATTAAGAAATATAGTCACAGATCCCAAGATTATCAATTGATCATTCTCGTAACTGTTGGTCTGACCTCAGACTTTTAACAAATTTCCATTGTTTCTATGTTTTTCCTACACCAAACAACCTTACCCAATGGGGTCTGAAGAATTTCGAGTGAATTTTGGATCAACCCGAGAGAAAATTGAAAAAACCCTGTAAGCATTTTGCGATAATTTCGCAAAGCCTGGAAATCTTCGAATAACTTTCACCGACTTTGCAAAACTTGCGAAAAACTAAACAGATTTGAAACACTTGCAATATATTCTAATTTCCCGCCCTTGCTTCAGAC